AGGAGCTCTTCCCCCCGAGGCTGCTCCCTGGTTCTGGCCGCGGGGGCCGGAGCAGCAAGCAGCTGTACGATATTCTGACATGATGGTGTTGCCTACATGTAACGCTTCTCAGCTCTTCGTGCCTTGCCCTCAGCTGCCTCCCTGCCAAGGCTGGGTGTCCTTTGGGCTGGTGGCGGCTGTGGGGGGGGGAGGCAGAAAGGGATAAGCTGGATCCCTGTGGTGAATGCAGCAGCCTCCTTGCTCTCTCCTCTTTTCTGTGTGGCCCAAAGGGCACCTGCCATATTTTTTGGTGTTTCAGTGTGACTTTGCACCGTGTGTGTTGCAAACAAGGTCACGCTGGGCTTCCTGTGCCTTGGCAAGGTTTTGCAGGTGGTGCCCGGCATTGGGTGTGTGAGCAGGCCTGTGCTCAGGTGCAGCTCTCCTGCTGCTCAAATTGATGTAAGAGCTCCTCTACTCTTACGAAGCAACTGCCCGTGTTGTGTTTCCTGCTACAGGAAAATTAGACACATAGACCTCATTTTAATGGACTGGATCTTAAGTCCTATCTTGAGGGCATTAAAGTTGTGCAGTGCAAGATCTTGTCTTGTTAATTGTTTTTTTAACATGAAAAAGGACATTAATGCATACTAGCTCCCACAGTGGGTATTTAGAAGCTGAGGTGGTAGCATCAGTTCCCTCTGAGTATCGTTCTTTCTATTTTATGGTTTTGATTTTGTCGCTCTCTGTTATTCACTATCTGTTTCTTTTAACCCCTATGGGACTGAGTTTATTACCAAAATAAAACCACTTGCACCCTTTCTTCTTAGGGCCTTTTCTTTCTTTATGAGAGGATTCTTTTTCCCATTAATATTATGTAAGATTGGATTTAATATTTTGCTGTGCATTCTCACAGGGTGATTCATATTCAACTTCTGTTTTCCCTGCTGCCTGAACTTGCTATTATTTCTTGCTTTCCAGGGGGTTTCTTGCTAACGCAATCACTCCTCTCAACATTAAGAACAGGCAGGATCAGCCCACTTTCCATTTCCGGAAAGGTGGGGAGGGAGGAGAGAAAGAAATCAGGTTATAAGGGTTTTTATGTGGAGGGGAAAAAGCAGGAGTAATGTGAAGGATTTATACTCCACCCCTTAAAAATGCCTATTTATAGGCGCTTGTTGCATTAGACCAGCAGTTTCACCTGCCAAAGGTGGTAAACATGGCTGAGAAGAAAAAAGATTTTGTTGATGAAATAAATAAAGCGTTGGCAAAGTCTGAAGGGTTTACCCTGAAGGACCTGCTGTTCTCCTACCAGGGGACTCCTTATCCCGTCACAGTGTGCAGTGCAGAAACGTTCCAAGCCTTGGAGAACTTAGAAGCCAGAAGAGATGATCTTGTGCTGGTGTCTTACCCTAAATGTGGTGAATATATTACAAATTACTTGGTGTCATGTAGGATGCTGTAACTAATTAGCTGATACAGTAAGAGGAAAAATAACTGATTGTACTTCTATGTTATATGAGGATATTGGGCGTTTCTAATACAACCAGAGGCAATATTACAACCTGTTCTATCTTAATTGTGCAATCTGTTGCATTGTTTTTTACTACGGTCTATGTTTTTGAAAGGATAAAATGTTTTAGCATGCGGAACTGTTTTTAGGGCTGAAGAAGAGACGTGAGAATAAAATCTATAGTTTTTATATATCAGTGGGACAAGACAGCTCTGCCAAGCGTGAAAGTGTGTTAGTAATCAGTGTACAAGAGCAATAAAGTTACACATTAGACTCTTGAGTGGAAAGTGACAGGACACAGCATCTTTATTTGCAAAAATTATAAGCTGTTTATTGGCATTATTCAGTATGAAGGTTATTTTCTGTTTTGCCTAATGTGGCTCATTTAGTAACTGCGAAATGATTTTGAATGCAACAGGCTTTAAAACTGTGAATCTTTTAGTCAGAGGTCTGCAGAAAGGAGGGGAGGTGCAGTAGGAGCAGTGGGAGTAAAAATACCCAAACGATCAACTAGTTTGTTTTGATCAGTTTAACAGCAGTCTTGCGTGACCTGGTTGCTTACAGTGAAGGAATGAGTCCTGCTATAGTAGGAAATCTATTCCAAGTACATAGTCCTACTTTGAGAACCAGGCAGCATCAGCTTAGCATCGCCAGAGAGAATGTGGGTGCAAGGAAGGATTTCTTGCCTACAGAACACCTTGCAAAAATGTGGTAACTGATGCAGTCCTGTTAGGGTCTAATCAGAGAGTCGTTAGTCAGGTCTAATTCAGGAAGGTGCAGAGCGCATAGAAATCCTACTGATGGCTGGCTTGTGATCCATGAAGAATATATAGTGTAATTGGGCCTTCTTAAGAAGTATGCTTGTAGTGTTAGGGTGAGTAAAAAGCAGCTGTGAGACAGAACACTGAACCAATGGACAGAGGGGACAAATACAGAAGGAGGGAGCTGAGAAACAACGTGAAATTTGAATCTTTTTTTCTTGTTCCTGTTATTTATTAAGGATTGGGAAAGTGAAGTTACAGTAGAGTCTCACTATATAAATTGTTTCCCCCAGCTCAGATGTGCACGGTGGAGAAGAAAACTCTTGACTGACACAGAAAACTGTGAGGTGTGGGTGAAGGACAGTGGAGCTGCAGGATGCAGTACTTCTTGAGGATAAGCCATGTGACTGAGAAGCCAATGGGGAATTTGGAGATTAGGAATTTCAGACTTCTCACATATAGCTTTTCTTTAAAATTGTATTTGTGTTTGTTCACAGGCAGTTAATACTGGGCAGATGAGGACATGGATTTACAGTCAATAATGGTTTTGGCTCTGGTCTGTATGTAAGGGGAGGTTTATAGAAATACATGATATAAGTATTATAAGTCATTGTATGATGTGTACACATTGTATACACATTATTGTATAAATATTACACATCTCAGCTGCTTCCATCCAGATATCTCAAGGCACTTTATATAGCATAGGGTGGAAAACATCCTCTTTGGAAGTAAGTTTCCATTGAAAGCCTGAGGCTGAAGCTGTTTGTGTTGTGCATTCCTTGTTAGCACCTCTGACAGCTGCTTTCACAGGGGGTTTGCAGTGTGCAGGAGGCTGAGGCAACCTCACCGCTCCATTTCCGTAGGCCTGGTGGGAACCCTTCTAAGTGCTCCTCTGCAAGGACGCAGGGAGGGTGATGTGGGCTTAGGTGATCCTACACTGTTCTCTTGCTGTGTCCTGGAGCAATCAGTGGGGCATTAGTGGAGCAAATGTAATTCCTGGAAAGCTCAGAAAAGCAGGCACCCTGAAGCAGCATCAGGAGGTCATGGAGCTAGTGACAGAGATGTGCCACCTGAGCAGGCCTGGCATGCACCCAGAAACGTGGTGGGATGGGACGGGGGATTTCCCGCAAGATCCTTTCTAAGGGGTGAGGTACTGGGAAGGATGCGACTGTTCAGTAGGTAACATCTCTTGTAGCGTTTATCCTGGCATGCACTTTATGGAGATAGCAACAAGCCCAACTGGGGACAGGCACTGACAGTGACACTGAATAGGTGACTGCATTTAATCTTTGATGCAATGCAGTGGGAGGGAGGCAGACGCTTTTCCTCATCAGAAAGAGTTATGTTCCTTGATCATTTCCTTCCCTCTCCTATCCAGACCCTCCCTCCCAGGGAAAGACTTTACTGTCTTTCACTGCTGCCTTTATTATCTGTCATTCTTTGTTTTATGAATGTATTAAAAAAACTGAAGTACATCCTTGAATCAATTTTACCCCCCAGGCTTTCCTCGTACCAATTGTAAGTGAGGCAAGAAGGCCACAGTTAAGCTGTTGAAGATCATGTTGACTGAAAACATTATTTTGTTTATAATCCTTTGAGAGCTTTAGTAATATTTGTAATTTGACAAATGTCTATTATGCTGAATTAAGCCATGTAATGAGAAGGCTCTGAGATCTTGTCTAAACCTCTGATATGTTTTATTTTGTTCTCTGGGTTTCCTGGTCCAGGTGTGAACTGGCTTATCCAGATTTTAAGTGATTTGATATTTACAACTACCCAGAGTAAACATGTAAGTGCAGAACTACCATTTATTGAATGTGGAGATCCAGATAAATACCAGGTTAGTGAAAAGAAACTATTGAACTGCTTAAAGTCTGTTGTTTTCTCTCTCCTGCACCCCCGCACACCAGTTATTAAAATGAAGTCATGCAGCAGGTGGAGCTATTTCTCCTGAGAGGGAGGAAAAAAAGATAATCTTAGATGACTCATGCCTTTTGATTAGAGGGTGTTTGACACAGGCAACTCTCACAGATCATTGCTGCACCCGTGTAATAAATGTGTTCTCACTCATTGTTCTGTTTGTTTCTAAAGAGGATGAAGCAGATTCCGTCTCCCAGGATTTTGGCAACACATCTGAATTATGATTGCCTCCCCAAGTCTATTTTAAAGAACAAAGCTAAGGTGGGTACTTCCTCCCTCTGACAGTACCAGCATGCGAGAGTAATTTTGGGGCCACATCCTTTTCTTGTACCCATGCAGGTGGCATGGAGGGAAAGCAATTTGGAAACAATGGGATTCTCATGATCCTTGGGCTGGCTTAGCACTCACAAGCATTTGCAGCAGCATGAAGAGTGCTGTAGTTGACATAAGCAAGAACGTGTCTGGAGGCTGTTGTAGTGGTCAAAAATGATTGGGTTTCATGCTTTTCTCTTTTATGCCACTTTTTTTATATGCAGCCACATCAGGAATGAATGTGGTGAATGAGGCAGCGATACCTCTGGGGCATTGACTCTCTCCATGCAGAGTCAGACTGTTAAAACTGTAACATTTTGGGTACTCTGACACTGTGCCACTGATCAATGGCAGATATGTGGTATTTAGGAGGTAATACAACAGACAAAGGGAAATTGGTTAAAGAATGGGGAGGGTAATACAAAAGTCAAAGGGAGATTGGTTAAAGAATGGGGATTTTATCCAAGTTTTGTTAGTATTTTATCCTGCATTATGTGTAACGTTTTCAGAAGTGTTTACACCTCTCTGAGGATTGCAGTCTCTCAGGTTTTCAAGAACATTGCTGCCATGCATTGAAAAATGGGAGATGATTAAAACAGCTGTGAGAATCGAACAGACCTTTTCCTAGTGGTGGATTGACAAATGATTCCTTGCAATTTCCCCGATCTTAGATAGCTATGGGATAGGATTCAATGACAAATATTACAGCTTTTCCTGTTGTCCCTGTGTTCCTTCACGACACAAGCAAGTGGTACCAAGGCCTTTGTAATGACCGTGTTATAAATTTGTTCTGCATGCCTTACCTAATAAAGTGTTTTAAAGACCCCAGTAAGTTATTGATTGCAGACTGTCTGGTTATGCTGTCATTTTGGTTGCCAGGGGAAATAAGCAATCTGAAATTGTTGACCTCTTTCTCCCACTCCAGATACTAGTGTTGTTTCGAAACCCTAAAGATGCAGCTGTTTCATTTTTCCATTTCCACAACAGTGCGCCGAGCGTCCCCAGTTACAGCTCCTGGGATGAGTTCTTCTCAGAGTTCATGAATGGGAAAGGTGTTGTTACAGTTACTGAACGTAGCTGAAAAAGCAACAGAAGAAAATATTTAAAAACAACTAAATGGGGCCAGTGGGAAAACAGCTGTGTCATAATTAGTTTACTGATGGCCGTGTCTCATGACAGAGGAGGCAGCTGAATGCCAGAATAGAGAGAAAGTCCAAAAGATGCTCTGGTTCTGGGCATTTTGTTATTCCAAACAAGGGCATGGGGACTTGCACAGCAGCTTGATAATGGCTTTAGGCCAAAATTCTGCCCGTTAGTGATGGAGGAAATGATACAGAACTGAAGTGGTAATGAAATAACATTTTGTTGTCATTACTGTTTCCACATATGATGCCAAACACCTCAGAAGCAGCCCAGATTTTAGGTTTAGACTGATGTCTGGCTTTGGCTTCTAAGAGCGCTCTTTAATAACAATATAGCAACGGAGGGGAAGCACATGGTGAAATTCATATTTCTGTGTGGAAACTATTTACCTATGAAAGTGCAAGGGATATCTTTCATCATTTTGTTGTACGGCCCAATACCACTGAAAGGCAGGGATGATCTGTTTGCATAGATATAACTGATAGGCAAAAGATGCAGTTCCTTGGGCGGAGAGACATTAATGCCCAGTAAAAAAAAGAAGATCGAATTGATGTGTTTTCTTTTCTTTACAGTCAGCTGGGGATCCTATTTTGACCATGCAGTCACCTGGAACAAACATATTGAGGATGAAAATATTATGGTCATAATATATGAAGACCTGAAAGAGGTAAAACAGGTGGTGTGCGCTAACAGGCAAAACACATCCGAGTCCATTTCCTGAAAAGTGCTGAAATTAACAGCAAAAGATATAGGTATTTCAAAGAGAGGAAAATCAAGTCTCTTTAGCAACAAGCTGAGTCTGGCTCTACAAAGCTGAGCTCCAGTGTAATACAGAAAATGTACTGTGAAGGAAAATATTGTTAACACATAGTGACTATGCATATCTCAAGCAGGTTACCCCTTTTTTTTAGGGAAAGCATATTATGTTAGTCTCTTTCACTGTACTGCTTTCAGAACCTGACTTGCAGTGTAAAGCAGATAGCTGAATTCTTTGGATTCTCCTTAACGCCTGAGCAGATTCGATCTGTTGCGAACAGGGCCACTTTCCAGGCCGTGAAGGATAAGGCTGAGGAGACACATGGTGCTGTTGGCTCAATTCTCTTCCGAAAAGGTAAACTTGTTTACAGCAAACAAACAAACGTATTTTGAGGAGATTAGAATTTGGATCAGTAAATGATTAGTCTTTCTGTATGATTTTCAAGATTATAAATTGCTTAAGAAACGTTGATGGCATTTCAGGGCACTGTCACTTGGTTTCACTACAAGGGCCAATACCGTTCATTAGAGCCCTGTATAATGTGATCAGCAGAAGTATCCTATGGGTAGCATATCCTTCAGTCGTGGTATAGAGTAGCACCAATTACAGTGAAGAAAAGTTTTCTTTTGGTTTCTGTGACTACTAGAATAGCCTAGTGATTGCATATGAACCTCAGTCAAAACTTTGAATCCAGACACTCCACAGATTGAGCCTTATCTTTTAGCCACGGATCAAGCTGTAGCTCTAGACCCAGACAACCTCAGACCTTGGGCTCTTCAAAATGTGGATCAAGGCTAGACTGCAGCTCAGGACAGTGTGTAGTTGCAGTGCACTACGCTTGTGCAGTTAAAAGCCATGCCTTTGAACTTTCTGGGTCGGTTTCATCATGGCTAGGCAGCTTTTACAGTCTTCTGCAGCTGTGCAAGGCACGTGCCGAAGCTATCAAGGCAGACCAGCAGCTTCATATGTTCTCTATGCTCACACTCTGTTGAAGATACCAAACATTAAGCAGCAGAGTGTATTCTTGGGTCAGAGATTCTTTTCCAGCAAAAAATATGGATTATTACCTGAAATATGGTAATCAGGGAGACAAAGGATTTTTTTGTTCTAAATCATTCTCTTCAGTCCTTGTAGTCAAGGATTGTATTTTACTTTTATATTCCAGGTGTTGTTGGAGACTGGAAGAATCTTTTCACTGAAGCTCAGAACCAGGAAATGGATGACAAATTCAAAGTGTGCTTAGGAGGAACTAAGCTGGGAGCTTAGTGTATGATGTGTACTGCAAGGTCTGAACTAGAGTTACAGAAAAAAGTCTCATGACTGGGCTGCTTTTCATTCACTTTTATGAAATCAAAAATCATTCAGTTAGTACTCTTGCCTTAACTGTATCCTCTTAAATGAGCTATGGTTCTTTGGCCTCATCTTGGTTTTTAAAACTGATTTTTAGCCATGATTCCGTGTTACTTTGTGGAATCTGTTTGGAATGTGTATGCATTAGTTGAACCTGTGGAAATCACTGAAGCTGTATTCAGTATGTTGAAATGATTTTTCCAAGAGGTTTTCCTAAACAATCATTAAGTGTCATTTTGATTTTGAATTTCTAAGTTCTTAGGACTTCAGAGTAAAATGAAATTTCAAAAGGTTTTATTGTAGTTATGTTTTGTCACTTTCTATGCGTTGATAAATGGCAGGGAAACGTAAAGGAACTGAGTGGTAGAAATTATTTGCCCTTTTCACTGGTGGCATTTTTCTTTCCTTCGGTAATGTGAGATATCGTCCTGAGCGTTGAAGGAACTATCGCAGCAGAACTTTCTTATAGAGATTGGACTTCTCTTGGCTGTGGCTTGCTTTGTGGCTTAACCTTAGCAAAGGCTGAGGGAGAAATGGGGGAAATTGTAAAGGCAAGGAGGAGGAGACAAGGTTTGCTCCACCTAATTGCGAGGAGGACTCCTGAGCATCCACCCTGCTTTCGATGTTGAGAAAGTGAAAAAGTTCCTGGCTGGGAAAGAATGGTTGAAAGTCCCTTCTTTGTGGTATCAAGACAAGGGGCTTGGTAGCCATCTGGTTCACTTGTTTGGAAGAAGGGACTTTTTAGACACGAGATAAGGAAGCATACTCCTTGCATAACTTTAGAAATGGAGCTGTTGTCTGGGTTTGCCTGAGTGAGTTTATGCCTAACAGTAGCATATATGATCTCAGAGGCAAGATGTATTTTTTTTTTTCCTGATGCTTGTCTGTGGTCTTTGCAGCACTACTGTCCAGAATAGAATTTGATGCCGCCAGAAGGCCGGTTTGCACGAGACAACCAAATGGTCTGTTAAAGGTCTGCCTTTTAGACTCTAGTCTTTGGGAGGTTTGTTGAACGCCAGTCTTTGACAGTTGGTTATTTTCCTCACCAGAGGCGTTCTTTTATCTCCAAAAAGAAGGTAAAAGTACTCAGAGAGGAATATGGGGTAATGCCCACATAAGTGCTAATTCAGGCAGAGAGGAGGTTACAAGTCTTATTGGTATCATCTTGAGTTTTGGAAAAATGCATAGAGTAAACGGTGGAAGTGCCCTCGTGGTCATTCAGTGTAATATATCTTTATGATACAGGTGAAAGCCTGTAAGAGTTTTCTCTTCAGGCAGCCAAAAAGCAGATGGTATTTTTGAAGAAAGGAATGTATGAGAAAAGGCTTTATTGGTCACACGCTTGTGCAATGCTCACTTCTTTTTGAAACCCAAGGTACAGAGTTCAAGTTTGTGTGGTATTACTGTGGAGACTAGTAGGGAAGAATAGGATGGAAAACAGGGAGGCAATGTGATGGAGGAAGAGAAAAATAAGGAGGAGAAACATGAAGTACCCAACTTGGTAGATCAAGTGCAAGGCTTTCAGTTGGAGTGACTGACATATGCATTCTCTTGTAGTCCTGTAGAAAAGGATCCTGCAGTCCTTTCTGAGCGCATGGCAGTGTGTTTGGAGCAGTGGCTGCTGGCAGATGGCTGTATCAGCTATCTGATTTGCTAGAGAGCTCCTGAGAGCAAGTCAGCCTGCACAGCAGCGAGAGGCAAAGGGTAGTGCTGCAGGATGCAGAAACCTGAAGAGGCTCTGGAGGCAGACTTTACCCCATGCTCCTGTTATGCCTCCTTTGTTCCCATTCTCCTTATAGTTTAGCAGCCTCTGTCTGAGAAATAATTGTCTTAATTGTGGTAAATGACTTGGCTAAGGGAGTATTTGTTACAGCAAAGTTAAGCACATACCTGAGTTTTTCAGCCTTGCTAAGGTATCAGGCACCTGGGGAATTAGCACAGATAGACTCTGATGTGTTCTTCTGCCTGCTTTCTTAACTCATAATAAATCGCAACAATCTCCCAGTCATTCTGTGCTAATGAGGCTCCCTTTCTGAAAGTCTGCCAGTGACAGGAATGATGAAGACAGGTTAGCTTCAACACATAGTTAGGGAAGTCTTGTCCTTTTGTAGTCAAGCCGTGACAAAATCTTGTTTTGTCTCTTTCCTGGCATGTTCCACTTTTAATTTTCTCCTGTTTCAGACATGTTTGCTGTAGCAATGAAAACTGCATACAACTCTGTCAGAGCAAAAATCATCCTGCTGCTGTACTTTAATGTCTTTATTCCTCTAGCTCACATTCCTGTGGTAAATGCTGACAGGAGAAAATAAACATAAGACTTCCTTTAGCAAGTGAAAGAGGGAGAGGGAGGGGAGGTGAAGAAGATCTCTTTTTATCTTAAAAACATATAATTATGATGGATAATCCTTCAGCCTTTAGGTTGACTAGCTAAAATGCCTATCTGAAAGACTGTGGAACTCGCACTGTGGGAAGAAAGGATCAGTGCAGAAGTAAATTTGTTTTCAAAATCAACGGCTGTGATAATTATTTTAGATGAGTAAGCCTGTAAGCAGGGCACCAGCTAGGCAGAGGCTCAAAATAAAATACACCAAAACAAACCAAATCAGAATGAAGTTAGTGTCAACAAATCTAAGTTTCAGGTTGATGGACCTATCTCAGACTCAGGTTCCCTATGAGATCTAGGTAGTCACTGGAGAAAGCAGCTGTGTTCCTTGGATACTTGCCTCAGGTGTAATAGGCCCTGCTGCAGCAGTAGGCCAATGTCATTGCTAAGCAATTAATAAAAGGAAGTTCAAAAGCCTCTGGTTGAGGATAATGGTGAAACAGGAGCAGTAGAGCCTGTTAAGTAGTTTGCTAAATTACTGATAGATCTGTAACAGCCAGCCTATCCACTTAAAACTACCTTCTTTCTCAATTTAAGATTATAATGAAGTATTCCAGGACGGTTCAAGAAGAGATCACAAGATACTAAATAGCCCTCTTAAATATTTACGCATCTAAACTTTTGGCCCAGCTATTTAGGCTAAGGTTGTTTAGATAACTGAGGGACTACTTCAGTCTTACCTGTACACTCTTCTCATTACATAGTCACATGTTCACTAATTACCAGCTAATGATGAGCATTAAAGAACAGTGAGTGTAACACTGGTGGGTGTGAGGGATGGCTAATTTATTTGTAGCTTTCTGTGTTGTAGGTTCTGTTCTGTTAAAAATGATGTGGCTGGGCAACAGGGAGGAAAGTTAAACATGAGGTTGAGGTGAATTCCCTGGAGAAAGGGAGAATTTACACCTTTCTCGAGAGTGCTTCAGCACATGCAGGATGAAAAGGCTGCCCTGTGAGGTACTTTGGGATGGTAGCATTGCAGGGCTAAATCCAGTAGCTTACAGTGCCTGCAGCTGTTGACAGCAGCTAAACAAAAAATTCACATGCGACAGAAGAATGAAAGTCCTCATTGCGGAAAATCACAAGTCATACTTTCTTTCAGCCATACATATAGAGAGAAATTTTGATTTTATATTTTATGTTAATATTTTCTGTTTTATGTATGTTTTCCCTTTTATACTCTTCTCTTTTTATTTTGGTACTCGGCAGTGATATTTTGATTAGTGTTTTTGACACACAGCATTTACGGAATGTGTCAGATCATTCAGCTTTTTTCACTCCCTGACCACGGTTTTGATTTCTTTTTTTTTTTCCTCTATATTGCCTACCTCCTTCACACTTACCATTTTTCAGCAGTTGTAGATATTTATTATGTCTACATTTACGGTAACTGGTAAAGGATGCTCCATTAGTACTTTTTGCACCTGTATTTCCCTTTTGAGCTCAGTAACAATCATAAAGTGAGATAGTGTATTAAAGTGATGTTGAAAAAGAGAAATTGGAGGTTGTCTTGGTAAAGAGAAGCATACATTTATCTTTCGTATACAAGGGATGGCTCCCTTGCGTGTGCGTTCAGGGTATCAGTAAGACAACCAAAAGTGAAGAGAATTCTGGTACTGAATTGCAATAAAGATAAAATGGGATCAGAGCAGACAGAAATGAGCACAATTTACATTTACAAAGCGTAAGCATTTTGTATCGCAGAATTATGCGGTACATTAATTGGAAAGATAATTAATGTTGAATTACAATAGAGGTGCTATGAAAGTACAAGGCGTATATGAAATTCACAAGAACATCAAACTTTTTTTCTGAGGGTAGGCTCCCAATCAGAATGCCAAATGGTTTTATAATAAAGAGGGAAATACAGTGAAATACAGTCTTACTATATCAGCAAATATCTAGTCTTTCATTCTACTTTTTAGGAAATTCTTTTAGGTTCTTCAGGAAAAGTGCTAACATTTTGATCTGAATTTTGGCTAGATCACTTGTGGTGGTGGTGGTTGGCACCTTTTGTTCTACTCTTAACGCACCACAGAGCTTGGCAACATAGGCTGAAGGTGAGACTGGTCAGTGATTGTTATGTTAATAGTGTCAGGATTGATGTAAAGAATAGAAATAGAGAACATCACAATGAAGGAAAGCATTTTGCATCAATGACGCGTTTAAGTGCATTACTGAAGCATTCTGATAAAACGTTACTTACGTTCAGATGTTTATGGTAATGGACACAATTGCCATAAATTGCTAATATACTTTGTAGTACTTATGGACTGGATAATATCAAGTAATGGCCCCCAAAATATACATGTGTAGGACTATACATGTGTAGTTTAGATTGCAGCTTGTTACTTCAGTCAATTAGAACTAGTTTGCTTCAACCAAATTGGAAAAAGTCTTGGTATGGTACCCAGGCTGGAGATCAACTGGTGAGAGAGCGACACTTGGTCTGAGTGTTGTGAGCAACAAAGATGAGAGACGTTATCATCAGCTGGTATTGCCACTTGGGAAGAGGCCAGCCATCTGGTTGTGG